TGACTCTAATTATATCATCAAAACCCCACAATAAACCAATAAGCTAGCTAGCTCACTTAGTACGCGGACTCTGTGCGAGTATAACGCTCCGGCTGGAATTTCAGAGTCTGAATTCTAGGAAGCTTTCCATCCTGATCTCTTCTAACGAACTGGGAACGGGAGACGTAGTACATAGCTACATGTACATGCTAAAGTGCTAACAAATCTGCCCAAAACACAAAACTATATAATACAGTAACGAGACAAACCGATGACAAGGTTTTGCGATGCGACCGAGACACAACCGGGATATTTTTTTAAAGACAAACTAATCAAGGGTTTAACACTGAAGATCCGGACACAATCAGGAAACACACCAATGACAGGACGGGGGGGCGGAGCCAGGACTAGAATAGAAACACTAGCACAAAAACTCAAAACAAAACATGAAATCAGAGCTTCTCATTGCTCAGAGAGGAAATTCAGGATAGGAATTTAAGCAAGAATAAATAGTTTTCTAGGCTTTAATATGAATATAGTACAAAAGAAAAGCTACGGCCATTAAACCCACCCGTTTTAAGGTCTTACCCTTAAAGGCGGAGTCTACAACTTTAAAGACAGGATGCTATTTTTGTTACACACATTTTGAATTAAATATCTGCCCAGAAGAGCGAACATCTAACCGATCAGGACGAGGAGGCGTGGCCACTTGCCTGTCAATCATGTTGCCTGTCAATTCAGAAGACCCGATTTCCTGCACGAGCTTTCAAATGTTCTAGTCTGGATCGGTTCGGCTTTTGAGTTTCAAAAACGACCACTGACCAAAATCAAGGACTATACCTTTAACTTCTCCTAACTCGCATGTGCCAGACCTTACAGAGTTGTACCCGTGACACCGTGTCGACACAAGAATATCCAGAGCTTTAGGAAGTTTACACGTAATCCCGAGCTCGGCCCCCGATCCGTCATCACCTGTGACTGACAGATCTCTGCTAAAGTGTGGAAACTGGAGCCGAAACGCTCGCATGTCATATGAACTGCAGCCAGATTCGACTGTGGTCAGTTTCGCCGCATTCATCCGCTTGCACGTAAATGTGGCACGCGAGAGCGGTAAAGCTCTCGGTCTGATCTAAACGTGCATGTACGCGGCGAGGGGAAACTGGGAAACGGCCCAAACCGTCGTCGAGCTGCCACATCTTACTCCTCTCATCTCGTGTTCTGGTTTCACGTTTTGAGATAATAACGCTCCGGCTTCCACCGTAAGCGGGTAGCGCGATCGTTTGAAGTAGGTCGTAGCGTACTTTCAGGAGATCATGCTTCCAGACATTTTGGCACTGTGCGGCTTTTATCTAATCTGCAATGTTACACTTTAAATTGGAGCCACCTGTCTGGGCCATCTCTTTGGAGGGAGGGTGCCAAAACTTCCTGTACAAGCCTCGTGAGGAAGATAAAGCATGAAAATGCAACGTTTTCCATAAGATTGTCAGTTTAGCGCAGAAAACAAGCCAATTCGTCGCTCTGGCACTGGAATCCCTGGATTATCCGATTTTGAGACGAAGCGAACGGATAACTGTTTTAAATTCAGCCACGCACACAAAAACGCATTTCACGGCGCATGAATCATTCTTACAGTGGGCGCAATTTTTCCATCATATTCCTGTAGGAATATATATATATATATATTTTTAAACGACGACCTGAAATTGCTTATTGTTGTGCAAGTGTTTTAAAGTGTGCTTCTTTTGTCTCTGACGCCAACGTCTTGGACTTTCAACATATTTTAGGACAGATCCAAATGCTTATATCTAGTTGTGTAACACACAGTGCATCCGGAAAGTATTCCCAGCGCTTCACTTTTGCCACGTTTTGTGATGTTACAGCCTTATTCCAAAATGGATTCAATTCATTATTTTCCGGAAAGTTCTACAAACAATACCCCCATAATGACGACGTGAAAGAAGTTCGTTTGAAATCTTTGCAAATTTATTCAAAAAAAAAAAAAAAGCACATGTACATAAGTATTCACAGCCATTACACTCAAAATTGAGCTCAGGTGCATCCTGTTTCCACGGATCATCCTCGAGATGTTTCTGTAACTTGATTGGAGTCCACCTGTGGTCAATTCAGTTGATTGGATATGATTTGGAAAGGCACAGACCTGTCTATATAAAGGTCCCACAGTTAACAATGCATGTCAGAGCACAAACCGAGCCATGAAGTCCAAGGAATTGTCTGGAGACCTCCAAGACAGGATCGTATCGAGGCACAGATCTGGGGAAGGGTACAGAAACATTTCTGCAGCATTGAAGGTCCCAATGAGCACAGTGGCCTCCATCATCCGTAAATGGAAGAAGTCTGGAACCAGGGGAGAAGGGCCTTAGTCGGGGACGTGACCAAAAACCCGATGGTCACTCTGACAGAGCTCCAGCGTGTCTCTGTGGAGAGAGGAGAACGTTCCAGAAGATCAACCGTCTCTGCAGCACTCCACCAATCAGGCCTGAATCAGACGGAAGCCACTCCTCAGTAAAAGGCACATGACAGCCCATCTGGAGTTTGCCAAAAGGCACCTGAAGGACTCTCAGACCAAGACAAAGATC